TTGTGATACAACATGCTTATTTTAGAAGTGGACAGTAGGGCGATGCGCATCAAATATTGCAAGGCTGTTATCTCTGGATGAAAATAAGGTGAGAGATACTGTGGCTTTCGGAGTGTGTCGAAATGGTAGGTTTGCTTTGACCAGACTACCGTATCGGATTGGGTACAGCTAGACGAAATGCCGTTTCGTGTTTATTACTTGTCTTATATGGGCCTGGGATCACGACCCAGACTTCATGCGGACAGATAGCGACAAATATGCGTGAGCAACGGGAGGTTCATACTACGAAGCAGTTGCCGATTTCTCTGTTTAAAGGAATCTCCACGGAAAAAGCTCCGCCTCCATTACCACAGAAAAACGATACCTTAGGCCCCTAGCCTCATGAGCATAGCAAAAAGAACGGAACATAAGCGTTAGTTTCGATAATACTAATCCTACACACAAGACAAAATGATCACTCTTTCCGTGGAAGATTCCTTTAAGGTATCGTTTTCTGTGGTAATGAGGGCGGAGCTTTTTCCGTGGAAGATTCCTTTGATGCTCAACTAATAGTTGAGGCATTCGGCGTTGATTCTGATGATTGCGCACATTCTACTTGAATTCAAAATCGTATTTGCTTTTGAACGACGATAGAAGGCTTCACGAACTCCCTTGTTGATCACAGATTTGGCCCTATGGCCTATAGGTACTGTAACCTTTACCGAGGGTCTCGGATGCGAGACAAGAGTCCCCCTGAGGTCGCCGCGCAAGCGAAAGTAGGTCACCGCACGCGGCGGCTATCTACCATATCCAGCTTGAAACGTATCAAGTTGCTAGGACTAAGCTGAAACAAATGCAGGAATGGGGCCTACACAGAGGGAACAGGAAAGCGTTGTATCGATCGTCTGGAGAGGGGTCCTGAACTCGGCAAATTGCAGAAACACCGGCGACGTCGCGCGCGGTGACCTAGTTTTGGCGCGGCGGTCGCGGGGGACTCTTGACCGTCTCCCGAGGGTCTCAGGGATGGATTCATGTACCGTAATGTTAAGTAGGCTGAACTAGGGCAACTGGCAGCCGTGAGCTGGATCCCCCAAAGCGTTACTTTTACCAGTACCACAAAATGGAGTTACTTAACATAGTGCAATTTCTGGTATTCTAGACACTTCATATGTTCACCACGGGATCAGCAAAGGCGTTGGATTACGCGGACTCGGTGTCGGATCATCTGAGTGACATGGGCACCATAATTGTTCAACTTGTGTAATACTTATATTCTTTTTGACATAATGCCTTTAAAATTCCACTTTTGTCTTTCTCACTACACTAACCTGCCTCAAACTACTTCAGAGTTACTCTAAATGAGTACATTTCAAATGTACAAAATGTGATGTGGACGAGTTGTAGCTCCTCAATCCCCATAGACGACTAAAAGTCCATTTTGTAAATTTAGTACATGAAAAATTGAAGCAAACACAAGGTACGGTGGTATATACCAGAAACATACGCCGTAAGTCTGCGCGTCAGAAGTCGCCGGGCCGTTCTATCCGTGCAGATCGTTCTGTTTCTGCTTTTTTTTTCTTCCTCTGCATCCTTTTGCCTAGATAGGGACCACCCGCCGCCTAAATACAAGCGAACTGCTTCACTTTCAACAACCTACTTACCCTGTCAGCTGTACGAGATTGGTGCTGATTGTTAGGCAAGAGAGGGAAAGAAGGTGAGAAAGTGAGAACTCAGACGAGAGCTTAAATTCAGCGGTGCGCACTTAGGCTATCCCTTCTACGAATTTTAGCGCGCAGACTCATGGCATAGATCAGGGCACATATCTTAATGTAACCCTATCCTTGCCACGATTTTATTGTGTACCAAAAGTGGACGATGGGTAAGTTGAGATTACCCACGAAGATAGCAACTTCGTTATTTCTTTTTTCTGTTGACGAGGAGTTACAATTCGTCCTGATCTCATCGCGACATGCTTCTTCGGGTACCCGACAGGAGGCCCGAGTTAGCAGGCAAGTCGCAGCGCGTGATGTGCAGTGTGGGACACACACTGCAGCATCCTATTCAACTTGACGCGAAATCACTACATTACGCGCTGCGCTCGTTCGCCGACTCTGCCGCGCGTCGGTTTCCTGTCGTGTGTGGTGTCAGTGTGTCTCCCTTCTTCAAGTGTGGCTGATGTGAAGTTCGTGGGGTTACTTATCGTTTTAAAGAGCTGGCCTATATACCTCTAACTGTGTACTGCTCATATTCTCTTTATAATAGGAATCGATACTGGTTTTATTCTTGAGTACAGAATTAACCTTAGTAGCCTTTTATAGACTTTAAATATAATAAAATGGTACAAGATGATGCGATGATGCGGACAAACAGTACTTCCGGGAGACAAGAACATCAGTAAGTACAGTCACAAACTGACAAAGGCTTTGGTCATAGCGCATAGAGCAACAATAATACAATCAAAATCGCTTGAGATGAAGAGAAACTGGATATATACTTGTCACGGAAGCACAAGCTTTAACATGGCACATAAATATTGGCGTTAACCTTAACGCTAAGGCAAGGAAAAAACAGTAAAAAGGCAACAAAACAGACAGCAGACCACGCAACGCACATGATTTCAGCAGTAATGTGATGAATTGTAAGCCGTCATATACAGAAAATTCGCAAAATATAAACGCACAAATAATTGCCTTTAACCCTGTTCATAGCTGATCACACGGCGCGGTGCGCTATGGCATGGCGCGGCTAACCAACTATAAACAGACCTAACACAACCACATTCATCACAATTCGATACTATCACAAGTCGTGAAATATTATAAAACGAACAACAAGTAAAGCCGTGAAATTGTAGGTGATATTACTTGGACTAGTGAGATGAAGTGTCGCGTGGGTAACAGGTCACGTTATGCTCACTGCTTCAACAATCGGTAGTGCCGTCAATCACTTGGCGATCTAGTAACACTGGACGTTGTCTGGAACGTCGCGAAGGTAAACTACCACCGCTACGGCTATTCCACTCGTTCCATACCTGGCAGTAGTTGAAAGCCGCCGCTGCTGGACCAGGCGAGTCAGATTCTTCCTCAGCTACTGGATCATCAATCGCTGTGACAACGCGACTGTTGGTGCGTATTGCCTGTGATTCACATTGCTTACGATTATATGGATGCGGATGCGCCATGTCGGCGCCAGGCGTACGGAATGTGAAGGGCGTCGGTGAGGAACATGGACGGATGCGATCAGTTTCAGACGGCTTCTCTTCAGTAATAGTTTTCGAAGGAGGCAACATAAATGAGGTGACATCGGTTTGAGGGCTAATTACTGCAGATCGTACACCAGCACGTCGCATCTTCTTCCTCGCCCTCAAAGAAACACGCGGACCCGCCTGGGCATTGAGCTCTTCTCTGGAATGAGAAGTTTTAGCGGTTCTCTTGTTATATCCTACACAATGACTTCCTTGGAATCCACCTTACACAATTTCCACAAAGTTATAATAAAACTCATACCTAGTATTTCGTGTAATGAGAGGAGAGTTGTGAAGGTTCTGCGGCACCATGCCGCAATTTGGCGTAGTGCACATTGCGTTGGCCTGTGATACCAACGAGGTTGGACGGCGATCGACCGCTGACGTCGATGGTGGGACGGAGGGGGCTGGTGTACGCGGCCTGAATTTAAGCAGTAAGACTTTTACTACGCCGCTCTAAGGTTCTAATTACTCTTCGCAGTGGTAGAAGAACTGACTCAAGGCACAAGCAAAACTTATTCCTTCCAACCATTGAACTCACCTTGAGGGACGTGTTGCCACCTCCTTCTCCGCTGTATGCGAACCATGAGTTGAACATGCGGTAGTAGTCAGGGGTGGTGCCGGTGGCGGGCCTTTGTTGTGGATGCGGAGGACATTCTGGTGCATATTCGGCGTATGACTGGTAGTGGGAGGCAGCAACGGCGACCGGGCTACCGTGGTAAGATTTTGAGCTGGAAATAGAAGATCAGTACCTCTACAAGTGAAATAGAATCTGCACGATAAGGGCGAAGGTCGAATATGGGCAAACCTAGTGGAGGCCTTGTTCGTGAAAAATTATGAAGATTAATTTTACACCAGTGATTTACAGGTAACAGAACTTTTCAACCCGGCTATTAAACCCTAGACATTTTCTATAAAAACGTACCTGGGAATAGCGTAGTGATAGGGCGGCGGTTGTGGATGGGCATAGAGGACTCGGTGATGGAACGGTGCGATTCCGGCTGGACTGACGCCACCGGCGGGGCCGACTTCTGCCGTCGGGTAACGATGCATTTGGTATCGGTCGATGAGATCGTAGGATTCGTATTCGGGTACACTGGCTGACATTCCTCCCTGAAATCGCATTACAACTATCGGACAAGCCACAGCGGGATGTTTTGAGGTGATGTAAAGCGCTGGAAATTTACACACATGGACAAACTAATAATTTCGACTCCGAACTTCTAGCCGATACATTGCATTCACCTCTAGCTTTCAACTAGGGTACTATACAAGCGAGAAGCAGTTCTGAAACTTTCTTAAAGTTCGAATAATTCTGATCAATAGTAATTCAACTTAATAGTGGATGTTAATTTTTTTTGAAGTACGTCCGTGTTGGAAGACACGGGGCTTATACCCTTACAATATTTTCTTTCACTACATGAACACAAGGACGGCATGCACAATGAGCAGGTTTGATGAAGGGTGACGGTATACAGCAACAAAGGGAAAGAGTGCGTATATTAATCGTGCATGTCCACTAGACAGTACTGCAGACCCACGACGCGCACGGCTACGGCGCGGCAGACCAAAAAATGACTGCCGCGTTCTTGGCCGTGCGCGGCCTAGGCTAACAACATTTAGCTACCTTGGAGACATGATTTATGCACACGCTACACGAATCCCAGTGCGAAGGCCGTGGGATAGATGTGACGGTCGCTCGCCGGTTTGCGGTCCAGTCAAGCTGAGGTCATAAACGGCTAATTGCTAACTGCTGAAGTAGGAAGATTTTGACATTTATACAAAGTTCCACTTCGCCGCAATTCTCTACTGTCTTCCGTCTCTCCTACGTGAACACTATTTCCCTTTCGGCGATCGCCCGAGTATGACCACAGCTTTATCGGACTGGTACCCTAACGAACCACCTATCTGACCGTATTACATCCATGACCAAAGGCAACGCACCGTGATTCGAATTTCTGGAGAGCGGATAGGCAAGGGTAAAGAAAATAAACTACTCGGCGTCAGAGGTAAGCATACCTAGCCTTTAGGCTACAATAGAATCGTGAATTCGCAACGATCAGAGGTGGATCGGTAGGTGATGGTGAGAACTGAAAGAGAATCACCGGCATACGTATAAGAGGCCGAAATCGACGTACGTACACATCAATACCAGTGATGAAACCCAACCCATAGGAAACTCTGCACTCGTGAACGAAAAACAATCGAAGAAAATTCCGAGCAGTTCTTTAAAACCCTAATTTATCACTAAATGCAGCAAGATATCGCTATAGAAACGCTAATGTACAAAAAAGATTGTTATTTGGTATTTGTTATTTGTTGCCTCATAGATCTCGAAACACTCAAAAAAATTTCATGGATTCCGTAAAACTCCAGAACAAACTCCATGCAATTAGCATTTTCGGTATAAATACTAAATTTTATTTCGAACACAAAGGATATAATTTCTTTAAAAATGGTCACTTTCCCGATTTTATTAAACATGCAGTGTTCACGGAAAGGTAAGTTTACCTAACTTATTTGCATTTGCATTTGCCTAATACTTTAATATTTCAACGAAAGTTCTAGTTACAAAATGCAGCTGGAATGATAAAGATTCTTAAAAATCTTAGTGAGTTTTGGCACCCGTAAATGAAATTTACTGTTTGTACTACAAAACAATAAATTTGAGATTTTATGAATCTAAAACAACACCTGTGACCGTATTCCAGCGAAGAAGAGAAACCTGAGGTGATGTTCCCGCTGCAGATCTTGGGAATACTTAAAGGCAGCGATTACTTTTTAAAGGCATATTAAAGGCATCACGATAAAGTGGGAGCGCATCGGGGAAGCATATGCACCACACGAATCAGTTACTTGGCTGCCAGGAAGCGAGGTGTAGCGCTTTCACGACGAAGGTTCGCTGGTTGCTGAGCAGGACTTCGAAAGCACTCCGCCCCCAAAAGCGATCCGCCCACTAGTTTAGTTGGTGATTTGGACGAGCAGCGTTGCCAGCAGCGGCACTGGAGCAGCAACTCGATTGGAGTGTGGTTTGGCATGGTGTTACCAAACGCGTTGCGCTGAACTCGTTCATACGTCCGCTTTCTGAGCTGTTACCTGTTCATGAGTGAAAACCAACGGCCAAAAAGGGGGTCCCGTTTTGCGTTTTTTGACGGATTTCTCCGCTTTTTTGCCACTGACGTACCATTGAGCACCACCACGTCTCCTCTAAACCTTCTTGAACTTATCGTAATCACTGCCTTCAAGTATTTTAGGAATGGCTGCTTCCCAAAGCCTCCTAATAGTCATGTGAAAAACGTTTTCATTCGCCAAAATCTGGTACGAAAAGTTCGAAGAACTTGAAATCTCAAAAACTTCAATTTTTCTGCATTAATTCGCTGACTGGCAGCTCAGTCAGACCTGAAACAGTCAGATAAATAAATTTCAGGCATGATAGAGGTGCATGAAATAACACAGAAAAATTCAAATCATTTGAGATTTTTTTTGTCTCATGAGCTTTTAGTAATAAAACTTTAGAGAACTGAGCGGTTCCTACACATTCAGATCTTCATTGTAGCTTCGAGAAGCCACCGTGCCAAGAAATCTTCGAGCATGCAGCAGAAACATTTGCTCATCAGGTCAATTTTTACTGTTATGCTGGAATATATAGGCTATCACCAAGCGATTGCAATCAACGATAAAACGATTATTCACACAAATGACACCGGCAAGACACACCAAAGAAAATGACATGCTTCTTAGACCTGTTCTTCAAAAAAATGCAGACCTCAACATAACGACACTCAGAAAAAAGAAAGGTCCAATTCCAAAGCAAATCCTAAACCGAAACAAAGTTCCCACCTGAGGAGTGTGGCCATAATTCGGAGAGCCGTAGATGCGCTGAGCTTCGCGTCTTACACCACCAGGGGTCGTTGAATGCGGTGCACGATTGGCTTCGGCCTCTTTCTCTCGCAGCCTCTCGTAGTGCTCACGGATCCTAAGAGATTATTCAAGAAGCATTCAATGAGAAGAATGCAGTTTAGTGGCTTCTACGAAGACTCGCCACATGCTGCAGAAACAGCAATAAAACAAAATTGGCACGGGTCAATTTTCACACCCGTTCACGACTCCTGCGAGTTCCTTTATTGGAAGTGATCTAGAAGAGTTCCATACCTCCTTTTTTCTTCCTCATCCCGTTGACGTTGAGCTTCTTCCAACCTCGGATCAACCCTTTGCGTGGGAGTCTCATCGCGGCTCTTTCCACCCAGACCGAGGAATGATTTCATGGCTGTTAAGCTGAAACATGAGCACTTCTAATGTGAAATCATTAAAAGAGCAAATATGAGTAGGTTCTACTGTACGGCATAGTGCAGTGGGCAGTGGGGTAGCACACATTTT